TATTCAAATTAGAATTATTTTTAGAAAGCTGCTATAGAATTTAGATTTCCTTGAACAAAAGGCTTTCATGAAGCCATATGCTGGTGTGATTTCCTCCGATAAAGCCTTAGAAATGTCCTTTTCGAATCCCATCACTGGTGGGCGGCTGCATTCTGTGGGCAGGCCTGCCCTGCACACCTGGGGCTCTGCAAAGTTTCTGTGAGGTGTTGATGCTTGCGCTTCCGGTGGCCATTGGCTGAAAGAGTATTACAGTGAACGCTGTCATCAGCAGAATTGGGGATGTGGAGTGATTGCCAGTTGTGAAAGGCTTAGAGAAAAATGCCTCAACACAAAGTTCTGAAGTAACGTGGAGTGTCATTTCACTGTTCTTTCATTCAGAGGGTCCTGTAGAATCTTTGTATCCTGGGGGAGGAGTTAATAAAGATTCCGGCTCTAGAATGTCTGAAAAGCCAGCTTTATTCTACTTAGAAAGGGAAATAGGTAAGTGGAAAGGACATAAAGTCTCCAGGGCCCAGGAGAGGGAAGAGAGAGAGCCCAAAGCAAAAGTGATGTGGAGCTATTAACATTCACCGCTGTCTGCCTCTGCTAGTAGCCCTCCAAAGCCTTGGGGGTATAAGATAGGTCAAGAAAGGGCCTCCTCTTTACCTGTTTTGGGGCGTCTCACATATTAGCACCCAGCTCTTTGATGCATTTTGAGGTGCTCAATAAATCAGAAGGCTCTGATTTTCAGCAAAGGCCCAGGGTTTTCCAGAAAGATCTCCCCAGGATGAACCTGACGTTGATTCATGTAGCTCATCTGGCTCAGTTTGTCTTGGACTGGACTGTCACTCCAAAATAGGCTCAGAGAACACACCTGATGCACCAGCATCTCCCATACTGTTGGCCTGGTGTCCTGACTTGGTGCCTAGACTCAGGGCCAGCTTCCATTCTGGGCTCCCAAGCATATCCTTCAAAGGGTTGAAAATAGCATCACCATTTCAATCTCTTAGGATCCTTCTCACCCTTGACAAGCCTGTGGGTCAGTAGCCCTCTAGGGCCCCTTGTCTATCATCCATGATTGAATAGTTACTCTACGGAGCATCATGCCATGCATTGTGGAAAATAATAGAAGAAGGCGATGATGTACTCCTGGCCTTTGAACATCTTTTCAACTTACAGAATAGACAGAACCAGCAACCCAAAGCAAAACACATGAGCACTCAAATGTCAGCCAGACATATATCATTCATTATTTATAAATCCAATTAACTTGGCCTGTAAATACATATTTATGTATATATTAGTACATATACCTATAGGTACATAAAACTGAAGCATTTTTCTGAAAAGACTAAAGTGACTGGAGCTGGAAAAAGTGTTTTTTGCCCTAGCTGGTTTGGCTCAGTGGATAGAGAGTCAGCCTGCAGACTGCAGGGTCCCAGGTTCAATTTTGGTCAAAGGCATATATGATACCTGGGTTGTGGGGCTTGATTCCCAGTGGGGGTCAAATAGGAGGCAACCAATCAATGATCTCTCTCATTGATGTTTCTATCTCTCCCTTCCTCTCTGAAATCAATAAAAATATAATTTTTAAAAGTGGTTTTCTAGTGCCTAAGCTTTTGTTCACAAGGAATAACCCTGAGACAAAGATTTGAAAGCAAGTAGTATATTTGAGAAGTGTTGGAAACACAGTAAGAAGAATGGAAAAGGAAGATAGGGGAAGGAAGACAGCCAGCAAAGGGAAATTCTGGGAACAGCTAAGCACTTGAATCTCACAGTTAACTCCCAGACTCTGTTCACCCGTGGTTGAGGACTCCTTTCAGGACAAGTTAACATGGAGATGCTTTTGGATTGCCATGCCCAATCAAATAGTTTTAGACAAAGCTCTTCATGCAAAGAGATGAAATTAATGGCAGTTGGAGGTGGGCCTTGGGGAAAAAAAGCCTTGGGGATAAGGGCACAATACTTAGAAGTATCAATGACAGCAATGGCTTGGAAAATGAAGAGACTGAGGTTTCAAGCAATGAAGAAACCATTATCTATGAAGACCAAAATTAACAGTGGATGACGTTGAAGCCAGAAACTATTGGCTTATGCATTTCTGGAGAGTGTATGACTCAAATGACATTGGGAAGAAGGCCTAGGCTACCAGTTGGAGCTGACTGAAGATGAGAGGATCCAGGTGTTGATGGCTGCTCCAAGTCAGGATGCCCCCTGATTCACTAGACATGTCCTTCCTTCACTCAACTTGGTTGAAGAGGCCACTGGTAACCAACAAGCAGTAAAGATTGCATCCTGGGTCCCCTGCTGAAATTACAAAGGATATGGAGAGTGGTGGTGGGGTGGTCGTGGTCAGCACCTCTAAAGCATATCTGATAATAGAGTCTCCTTTTGTATTGTATTGTATTGTATTGTATTGTATTGTATTGTATTGTATTGTATTGTATTGTATTGTATGTGCCTCTGTAGAGATCTGGGGAGAGTTAAGACAGTCAAAAGCTGTAGCACAGCAGAGGGCTCTAGTTTGTCTGACACAGGTCGGGGTTGACGTATTGCTTCATAAGGCCTACACCCTAGGCCAGTGGTTGGCAAACTCATTAGTCAACAGAGACAAATATCAACAGTAACAATGATTTAAATTTCTTTTGAGAGCCAAATTTTTTAAAACTTAAACTTCTTCTAATGCCACTTCTTCAAAATAGACTCTACCAGGCCTTGGTATTTCGAGGAAGAGCCACACCCAAGGGGCCAAAGAGCCGCGGTTTGCCAACCACTGCCCTAGGCTTTAGCAAATGCCTCCTGGAGTCCCATGTGTTAATCTTTGTTAATGGAAACATCCATGTGTTTTACCTAATTTTAGCTGCCCTTGTAGATGTGTCCAAGAATGTGTTCTCAGAAGTTGTACCTCAGAGGCTAATTACTCCCTCCCATATCATGTTATATGCTTGGATGTGCTCTGTCCCTATCCTGTATTTAGATGCTGGGCAGAGAAGATCTATAATAGAAATGTCAGGGTATGTTGATAATTTATTGATCGATTTTATCTGGGGGAATATGTAGGACATGGGGGTGCATTCTTATGTACCTAGTAACATACTTTGTCCATGGAGAGGAAGAGGAAAGAGAGAGTTAAGCAGGATCCTGTCAGGGGACAGAGCTTCCCCAATTACTTTAACAGAAAGAATTAGTATGGAAACTTGGGTGGGGGAGAAAGAAGTTTTCTTCAACCCTCTTAGGCTGGGTCTGAAAATCAAACTGACAAAAACAGATTAACAGGAGAAAAGCAAACAGAGTTAGTTAATATATGTTCTATGTGTCATGGAAACCTCATAATAAGGAAATGAAGGTCTGAAGAAACAGACTGTGCATTTTTATGTGAAGTATGATAAAGAGTGGGCAGTCCTGAAGGAATATGAGAGGTTAAGGAGTCCAAGGTAAGTGTAAACTTAGCAAAGCCTATTAGGCTTCTTCTGTGTGTCCCATTGTCTTTGAAGAGAAGAATGCTCCTTTTCTCAGAGTGTAGGGAGGGCATCTCTCCCTTGAAAATCTTATGACCTGTTTCCAGGAAGAAGGATGACAGGGGAGGAGGTCAGAGTGAGCTTTCTGCCTCAGCTATTCTCTCAAATTCCCCATCTGAAAATATTCAAAGTGCCAATGTATTATATTAGGGGATAGCCTGTCCCATTACTTCTTAACCAGGTTATTGGACAATCCAAGAGGTGCAGAAGGAATAAATTGCAAGAAGTAGCTACACATTTAGGGCTGGGGGAACAAAGGGAAGAAATCAGGAGAATGGAAATACTTGCAGAACAGGACTCCAGACCTCTGAGAAATGTATACTGGATAGCTGGCTGTGCTGGTATCTCTGAAGGGGTCATCAAGAAACCGATGCCGGGAATATCAAGAAATTGCAAAATGGAATCAATTGCTCTTACTGGAACCAGTTACTGCTCCCAGGGTGAAGGGTTATCACTGGGCCATGCTGACAGATTAGGAAGCAAATAAGGAGCCACTCACCTCTCCTTCTGCTTTTGATCTCAAGTTGGAAACTCCCTGCCTACCCCCATTCCCCAATAGTAGACCTAAAAGGGAACCCACTGGCCATGGGGGACGTGGGAGTGGGGATCTAATGTGTACAGTCCTAGCCCCAGTACCACTAAGTAGGGCAAGTTTGGAGGAGGGAGACAAGTTAAAAGCCCACTCAAAGCTTTGATGGTATACCCAGTTGTTAGAGAAGGATGAAGATACCATGATTTTGCAGTGATGGGCCAAAGAGGGGGATCTGCCTGGGTGGCAAGAAGTGTTTCATCACCAACATTGCTTACACTTACCGGTGCATGATCATAGTCAAAGGCAGACTTACTCTTAGTTTTATGATTGCTCTTAAATTCTTGACAGACAGTGTGCCCTCTTCATTATGTGTGCCCAGGACTGACCACTCCCACCAGCCCCTACTCTTTGTTACACTACTAGTAATTGGCTTTGTTAGGATCAATTCTCTTGAATGCCTTTCTCTCTCTGTTGCTCTTGGTAACACTCTTGAGTCCTCTGATTCTCAGTGTGTGTTCTTCACTGGTGCGCTACTCACCCTGTGTTCTGGGGAGTCACGATCTATGAAAGACAAAAAGGTAGCCCTGGGTTTTCCATGACTTTTGGGAAAGGAGGGTCCCAGGTGGAGCCAGGTGTCTGTCATGTTCCATTTCTGGAGCTCTTTGGCCCCAGGCAGCCTGCCTGGAGCACACACTTTCTTCAGGATTCAATGATGCTTTAGAATCAACAAGCAATGCTAGATTGACCCAAAGGGCATGGACCTTGGGCCTGGAGGAATCTTCTTAGAGATTTGTCACTTGGTGAGAAGTTGAGAGTTTGAAGTTGAAGATTGGAATCACTGAAGAGAAGACCAGGTGTTGTTGATATCCCTCCTGTCCCAGTCCCTTGCCCGTTCCTTGACCATCACCCCATGGCAAAGGAAGGAGGACCTCCTGCTAATTTTCAACTGCATTTTGCTCTCTGTTATGTAGTATTTCAGTGACAAGATCCACTGAGGAGAGTTGGGGCGAGGCTGGCTGAGGTTCTCAAGGAGCTGTTTTGAGTTCAGGTACCCACATGGCAATGGAATGGTGCCTCCTGACCTTTCAGACCTTTGAGACCTCTGGGAGATCTTAGAAATCACCTCAACCTCCCATCGAGGATCCGACCATCTGGGGGACTTCCAGGGAAAGGTAGCAGGTAGAGTATCCTTTCTGAATTTTATTCTCTCTCATCCTCCCACCCCTCCTATCTATGTCTCTCTTGCTCTATTGTGTCCCTCCTCAAGATTCCATAGACCAGTGATGCAGGGGTATTTATTTTATGTTCTTGTCAACAGACATATCATGGACTGAAAGGTGATGGGTACCCCAAAGAGCTCACTACAAGACCTCAAAGATTCCAAGCCACCGGCTGTTCCAACACATAAAGCCACCAGTCTGGAGAGGCAGCAGGAAGCAAGAAGCAATCCTGGAGGAGGTGAGGAAACATCACTCTTTCCTCTGCCCTTGACTCCATCAACCTGTAGCTGTCAGATGGTTTGGGCCCAGGATTGATGGGCTTTCTCCTGTGTGTCCTTTCACAGGCTCTCTGGTTGTTATTGTTGTTGTTGTTTGGCCAGAGGACAGACCACCTTCTCAGGTGTCCTGGGGAACTGCTGAAGGACAGTGAGGAAGATGCTGCTGGTCCCCAGGACAGAAACACAGCAGCTGGAACCAAGAGGCACCTAGAGTGGGACCCAAGCCCTCCAGACGGAGCTCTCTGAGCTGCGGTGCCCAATTGGACTGTTTTTTGCTTTGCCATCATTTGTATAACACACAATTCTGGATGTTTTCCATTGGTTGGCTTTCTTTTTTCTTTTTTCCCCCCAACCTGTCCTTTCTTTTTCTCCTCTTGGCCCTGGGAATTATAAGCAAAGAATTGCTTTAGAAAATATAATTCTGTTGGTGACATTAGCCTTGTTTTATGAACAAATTCTGTCACTGGGGATTTTCTGCATTGCAGTCCCAGGTTACCTAGTAAATGGGGCTGCGTGGTTTGATTTGTGTAGTACTGATCCTTAGATTAAAAATACATTTTCTTTCTTGCTTGCCTTTCTTTTTCTTTCTTTCTTTCTTTTTTTTTTTTTTTTTTTTTTTTTAGTTTGGATTCAGGTAATGTCCTGAATCACATTTGCTTAGCTACTGAAGCGATCTCACTGTGGTATCGCTTGGATTTGAAATATAATCAAACATATATTATACCAGGGGCGCCTGCACACTGTTTGATATATATGTTACGCTGCAAAGAAACACAAACCTAATAGGTTGAAATTTAATTCCTGTCTGATCCTGCAGCTGGAACGGGGGAGAAATTATACACATCAAAAATGGCTTCAAATACCCTGAATGTAAGCTAACCAAGAGTAAGTGGATGCTTTCCAAATGCCCTTTTCTGAGGCCAAGCAGAAACTGGAGATCAGCGGACCTCACCACCAGGGTTGCTCGGGTCTGTCTGGGGACCTGCCCGTGTGTGGAGGGATTAGGGAACAAGGCATGCCTCTCTGTCTGGGTTTACGGAAACTGTGGCATTTCTGACCTACGTCCTGTAACTGTGCCCTGCCTTGCAATAAAACACCCTAAGTTGACTCAGCAACAAGGTCTCTGTCCATTTCCTACAATACTGTGTCCTTCCTCAGTGGCTTTGTAAGCAAGTCCAGGGCAGACCGACGGGTGGTTGACTTGCCAAAGATCTCAGCTGGGTGCCACCTTATTGCTCCACCAGAGGTGTCGCTGGAGCTCTCAGTTGTCTGCATGTGGGACAGTGTGTGTGTGGTCGACTTATCTACGTGGCATATCATAGTCAACCCCAGGAATCTCTAGTCATGACATAACTCTGTTAGGCCGAGCTGCTACCCAATGCCACCATTCTCTAATTCTGCAGTCCCCACCAATTTCTCAGAGACTTTAGGACAAGCCACAAGCTCTCTGAACTTCAATGTCTACCTATATAAGATGGGGCTGATGATATTTGCTATAGTTATGGTGATAAGAGCCTCCTACACAAGGACATCACATGGATGGTACATTATATAAATACACTGGATGTGGCAGCACTCGATATATGGTGTTTATTGTATTTGTTAATAGATGATGAAAAGGACACTTGAATTTCTTATAGTAGGGCTTTGGTTGAGAATACTGAGTCATCTCTGAATAGCTTCTTAGACCTGCTTGCATAACGCCATTCAAAAACAAAGATTCATGGGACACAGGCAGGAGAAGAGAAGCTGCCATTCCATACCTTGAGCATGTAGCTCAATACTGCCATCCCCCATTCTGTGGCATCGGGCAGATGTGGGATCTCCTTCGCAGGGATGCCACCATTGCTTTGTAGTGAGGAAATGTACCATGCTCAAGGATGTGGGAGGTATCATCTTTGCCCCTCTGTTTGCAGCATTGGGCCTGTGCTGTTAGAGGGCATGTGAGTCTCAGTTCTGACAAAGAGGTCTCATCCACGGTGGGGAAGACTTGAGCCCATCTCAAGCCTCAGAGTGCATTTGCCATTTTACTAGAAAGCACTTTTGAGAAGACCCTAGCACGCTCCACCACCACATCTGAGATTTCAGGATAAGCACAATGTGAAATAAAGACAAGAGCTAGGGCCATTCATTTCCTGTTGGGTCACTTCTGAACGAGTTGTTCTCTGGTTGCCATGCATGGGTTATAGTCCCACACATATGAATCCTGGACTTCGAGCCATGCAGAGTAGAAATATTTTCCACTTTCTACCTTGAAGTAGTTAAAATGGTAATAATAACATAATAGCAATGGACAGTTATTAAGTACTTAGCATATGCTGATCATTGGGCAAAGTATTTTACAAGAACTGGCTCATTTAACTGTCATAACAACTGGTCGAGGTAGGTACTCTTAACTCCCATTTTCTGGGTGAGAAGGCAAGGCTTCTTCTTTGTTTTTTTTAAAATATTTTTTAATTGATTTTGGAGAGAGAGGGAAAGGAAGAGAGAGAGAGAGAGAGAGGAGGGAGAGAGATCAATGACAGAGAATCATTGATCAGCTGCCTCTAAAGTTCGAGCCTGGTCCAGGCATGTGCCCTCACTGGGAATTGTACTGTGACCTCCTGGTTATAGGTCTACACTCAACCACTGAGCCATGCCAGTCAGGTTTAACCCATGTTTGTTGGCTGTCTTTCCTAACTTGTCTCACACCCACAATTCCCCAGAAAGTAGTTAATTTGCATACAAATGCCTGTGTGAGGATCTGCTTTTGGGAAGAGCCCAAGTGCATGAACAATCTGGTGCTGGTCAGTAATTTATAATAATAAAAGTGTAATATGCTAATTAGACTGGATGTCCTTCTGGACGACCTTCCAGCCAAAGCCACAGCTGCTGGGGCCAAGACCCTTGCACAAATTTCGTGCATTAGGCCTCTAGTAGAAATAATAATGTCCCGGAGAAAATACAGCAGCATCATTGTGAGCTAAGCCCTTTCCCACCTTATTCTTGTGCTGGAACCTCTGCTATGTTAGCAACTGGAAATAAGACCTTATAAACCTGAGTCCCACATTCCAGAGAACAACTTCCTTCCTGTGAAACAGGAATCGCCACATGTTCTGAGATATTTTTCCTTTAGATGAAAGACTCAACAAACCTATGAGGCCCAGGCCAGAATCACCTGATGGCAAATCAAATTACAATTCAGTGGGTAGAACAAGTAATTAAATAGAAGGGGGTAATGGGAAAAGGAGAGAGTCACAATCCTCAAGCCCACTTTCACCTCTCAAGGACTCCTATTTGCCTTTGAATAACTTCTGCTTCAATTAACATTGATTGAGCCTGCCTAGAGTGCCTGGCTCTTGTCAAATTCCATTACCAGAGGCTCTAAGACACTCTGTCTGGGAGCCTTTGTTGTGTGGGGACATTTCAGTAGGAGTATTGGATATTGTGTGGCGTAGCTAAGGCATTGATCAGGACTGTTACATTGGAAGCTTGCTTTTTCTGGCAGGGCAGTTTTGTATACAAGATTTCATCTTTGAAAATTCTCTTAAGTTCAAGTTATGATGCTCTAAAAAAGCATGTCAGACCGGCCCCACTACTGCTTTTAAAAATAAATGTTGAACTTGTCAACCCTATAAAGTAAGAAAATGTGCCCTAAGCTTTGTTTAGAAGCATTAAACACCTAATTTATTTTTATTGTAGCTGGGAGGAGGACACACAAAGAAACATATTTCTTTTATGGGCTTCTCTGTAAGGACTTTGATGTTTATGTTATCAGAGTTGGGAAAATGAAATTATTGTGTGTGTCAGAGTCTGTCTTATCTCCTTTCTCACGCTTTGTTGAGGTCTTGGAGGGTGGGGCTTACCATATTTTATGCAAAATGAGGGTAACATTCCTATTAGGAAAAAAAAAAAAAAAAAGAATAACATTGTTCTTAGGATCTTAAATGACCAAGGGCCTTTTTTATACAGGGAAAAACACTTGCTACCATTGATACCTTTTCATGCCTACAGTTTAAATCTCATTAATTATTATTTCTTTCACTAAACATTAAAATGCTACCTCTGCCACTAATAAAATATATTATACTTTATAAATCAAATCACCTTAAGTATTTAAACCTGATTACAAATTTAAGTAGACAACTTCTCTTAAGTATTTCAATAAAATCTATGCCAATTTCATTTAAAAGCTTCACAAATTTTGAAAGCAAGTTGTATGCTCACACACACACACACACACACACAAGTAATGGAATTCAAAATGTATTATACCTACATTGAACTGATTCAGAAATATTTATGCTATGGGTTTGATTTATGTCTTTATTATTTATAAATTTTTTTACCACTTCCTTTTTTTTTTTAAATAACCCTCAATGTTTATATTATACTTTCCTAGAGTTACAGTCATCTTGCTAGACTCAAAAGGAAAAGAATGGCATCTCAGAGCAGCTGAGTTTATGGATCTGGGATTATCTGCCACTTGATTTTTGCTTGGCATTCTGGATCTTAGTGGATCTTTTCAAAGGGGATGCAGCCCTGGGCTGATGCTTAGTGGCCTGAATTTTCGTTAAGAGTCAAGGTTCAGTTGCTATATCGATGAATTGTTGGGAGCCCTTGTCTAATACTAGCAACATGGAGCGCCCTGAGAGCTCCCATGCCCATCAAATCCTAGGCCCAGGCAGTGAGCCTGGACTTCGTGATGCTTTGGTTTCTCTTTATTTAAAAAAAAATAAAACACAAGTTTCTTCATCTAGGATGAAAGGGGGATTCTGGTCAGCTTCCAATACACAACTGGACTCTCCAGTGGCTATTACATAGGGTCATAGGAGAGGATCATTTCTTTGGTCCATCAAGAAAAATCTCCAACTTTTCTTGTTATTTGACTTAAAATTTACTGTAGCTTTTTTTTTCTATTTACTGTACATATGTTTAAATGTATACTAAATAAAAGTACCAGACATCTACATATGTGTATAGAGCATCCATATATTAATATATAATTTCTAACCTACTTATTAAAAATATTTATAAAAATATGCCCTCTTTGTTTTTTAATTGGCTTTATATATACCTTATACTTTTTCATTGTTGACTATTATTATGGATTCAGGATTTAATAACTTATTTAATAACATAAGTTATTCCAGTAGCTAAAACTTCTTATTGATTAAATTAGTGTAATGTGGGCACATTCTTAAGTATTCTCCCTTGGCTTCTCAGCGTTCGTCCTGAGACATTTTTGAAAGTTGCTTGCTTAAAGGCAACAAGATATGCCATGCTCATATTGATTTTTCTCTGCTAATAGTGAACATTTTGAGTTCCTCAGAAGCCCTGAATTTTGAGTAGAGAACATCACTCAGATTGCGTATCAGTTTTATCCTCAGGAATGTGGTAGTGATAGCCAAAATCATACTACTTTTGACCACTATAGTAGAGGTGCTGGAAAATTATGTGTTTTAAGTCATACATTTTCATAGCCATTTTCTGATATGAGTACTAATATTACCTATTGTAAATTTTTAATTAAAATTTTTTTAAATTTTCAATTGCAGTGGACATTCAATATTATATTAATTTCAGTGTACAGCATAGTGGTTAGTCATTTATATAACTTGCAAAGTGATCCCCCCAGTAACTCTAGTACCTACCTGGCACCATACACAGCCATTATAATATCATTGACTGTATCCCCTATACTGTACTTTACACCCCTTTGACTATTTTGTAACTAACAACCAGTACTTCTTAATCCCTTCACTTTTTTCACCCAGCCACCACCCCCCAACTCCAATCTGGCAACTAGATTGTTCTTAGTATCTACTAGTATGAACCTGTTTCTGTTTTGCTTGTTTATGTTCACTCCATATATGTGAAACCACAAGGTATTTATCTTTCTCTGACTTATTTCTCTTAGCATAATACCCTCCAAGTCCATGCATGTTATCACAAATGGTAAGATTTCACTTTTTGTTATCGAGTAATATTCAATTGTTAATATTACTTCTTAAAATTTATATTTACTGCACCATGCCTCCTTTTTGTATTATCCACTCAAGCTGTAATCATACTCTTTTCTTATTATTTGCCTGAGATATTTGACTGATCACAATTTTGTAGTTCTTTTATTGAC